TTATAGTGTAGTTCCTATGTCGGTGCTCGGGACATGGGGAGATTGAATGATTGGTTGAAACGAAATCGAGAGTACTTGAGCTATTTGTTTTGTTTCTATAGAATAGATTTTTTTCGAGCTGCGGGATATGGGGGGGATTGAATCATTGGTTGAAACGAAATTGAGAGTGTTTGAGCTATTTGTTTTTATAAAATAGTTTTTTTTCGATACTCGTGATATTGGGAGACCGAATGATCGGTTAAATGTTTAGTGTTAGTAAATTCGTTGTTAAAACACTTGAAATTGAATGGTTTATGTTTTTAGAATAGCAGTTAATCTGTCTTTCGATTGATTGAGTAATGATTGGACTATAAATGGATTGTTGATTATCTATTCGATAGACTTATTGTAAGAAAGTTTATCAATGTAAGATTTTATGTTAGAATCAGAACCGCTCATTTTTTTGTAAGAGATTAACATGAAAAACAGAATAATATATGTAATTAGAAACAAACAGACATAGAATGTGTTTCTTGATTGGATGTTCCATAGCACCGAACATCAATCGATGAATTATAAGAGGATGAATAAAATTCATAAAATTTTAATAGTCACTAAATAGGACTGATTAAAAGTGAAAATTTTCTATATGTAAATATTTTAAAAGAATTCAAAATAAATCATAGAAGCTCGACCAGCCATTTAGATTCGCTAAAATTACCAAAGTTGAATACCATAGTAAACAAACATTAATTATCGTGTGACTCATACTGCATTCCAAACTCAACTGAATTCCCATGTCAACTGTGATAGAAGACCTACACTCACACTCACATTCTTCATCTAATCTTGCAGCTTCTTCTAATCTTTCAAATTTATTAATAGTAGCTTATCTTCCGCCACTACTAACACGATCATCAGTGTTGACTCCTCCTCAATCTTCAGATGAAATAAGTAATTGTCTCGTTCTTCTAGACAATATTCATATTTGAAAGGAAACTTAAAAAGACAATAGCTAATGATCGAAGTGCATCAAAGTTAAAATAAAAACTACAATCAATTACTTTTAATAAGTACATAAACATTGTCTTACTTGATAACAAGTGCTCGATAAGCAGTAAAATAGGGTGTACCAAGAGCTGAACCTTCTTCAAATGAAATATTTGATGGTAAAGAAAAAACAGAATCACAATGAGCAACACAATATTCAGCATAAGCGCCCGTAACAGTCTTTACTGTGAATACACGATCGCCAACCTAAAATAAAAATAATTATTTCGGACAATCTTATAATAAGATAAAAACAACGATACATTCTAGTTTTAATATAAAATTTAAAAAGACGTTTTTTTTATGAAAACCTGAGATCTCATAGAGGTCTCTGGTAAATGAATATATTCTAAATTGTATAACTCTATCAAGTCGCACTACGAATTCAAATCTTTTTTTTTTGAGTTTTTGCTAGAATACTATGTAATTAGTATCTATTAGTAAACAAATCATAGAAATTGGAAGGAAGCATCTAGGACGGCACTGTCGAAAGTTAAACTGCTCAAAACATTCAATGATCAATTTAATTTAACTAAATTATAAAAAGTTCAATACCTTTGATGGTATTACTCAGATTACCTCAAACTTAGTAACGTCGTCACCAACTCGTTCAATAACACCAGCACAATCAGCTCCAGGAATATACGGTAAATTAGGTCGACGAGAATATGTACCCGATCGAATATATGTATCCACTGGATTGACACCAGCAGCGTGTACACGAATCAATACCTAATTATAATTTGAAATTAAATTCATAAAAGAATAATGCTAGAATTGATTTTTGTGTTATACTTCTCGAGGTTTTACTTCAGGAATAGGTACATCTTCAGCTAATTGACATACATTGGCGTCACCTATGAATTAAAAAAATACATGATTATTGATTCTGAAATACAGATCAAACAATGTAGTAGTACCGAATTCTTCGACCAAAATTGCTCGCATTACGTTTACCATTTATATTCAATATAATAGAATCAATTCTTTCGAATATTTTAAATGTCTGTCTGCCTATCTATTTTGCACCGTCGTGTACACCTAACCATTTGCTGATAAGGAAAGACCAATACAAAAAATAACTTTATCATGTGTCGCTCATGTTCTGATCTGTCCAAAATAAATTGTAACAATTCGGCTTCTTATAATATAAAACAATAATGCTTCTCTTCCTTCTATGGCAAAATTCATGTGAGGGTATGTGCGAATGAGCGTATAAATCAATCAAACGCAGACTGATCTATCTCTTGAAAAAAAAGACAAGTTCAATCTGTTCATCTCAACTTTTGCTTTTCAGCAATCGACTTCGTGTCGAAGTAACTGGACCTATAGGTAATATGCTAAATGGAACAATACTCAGGTTCAAGTCATCCGATCGAATTCTATTCTCTCCCTGGGCTATCCAACAATATCTGATAGTTGGCATTCAATCGGATATCATGGTATCCAATAGTAGGCACTTGCCGAATTCAATGAAACTCGACGGTATTAATAAGAA